TTTCCTCTTCACGTTTCTCCTTCCACTATTATTCCTAGTTTTCCTTTACTTTCCTTTGCATGTAATGTTACTGGTTCTGAAAATAAGATGTGGCATAGACGTCTAGGCCACCCGAACTTTGATGTACTTCGCATTTTGTTTAATTCTGGATTATTAGGAAATAAAGCATGTTCTTCTCTTGATCTATCTTTTGATTGTACATCATGCAAACTTGGCAAAAGTAAAGTTCTACCTTTTCCTCATCATGCATCTTGTGCATGACAATGTTTTGATATTATTTCATAGTGATGTTTGGGGGATTACATCTGTTGTTTCTCATGCGCATTACAAGTACTTTGTTACTTTCATTGATGACTTTAGTCACTTTACTTGGGTTTACTTCCTCCGAGCTAAGGCCAAAGTTTTTTTAGTCTTTAAGCGATTTCTTGCACATCTTGAGACTCAATTCTCTGCCAGCATCAAGTTCTTGCGCTATGATTCTAGTGGCGAATACATGTCTAATGAGTTTCAAGACTTTCTTCAAAGCAAAGGGATCATTTCTCAGCGTTCTTGTCCTTTGACACCATAGCAAAACGGTGTTGCTGAAAGAAAAAATCGTCACCTTTTTAATGTGGTAAGAACTCTTTTACTTGAATCATTTGTTCCTACTTGTTTTTGGTGTGAAGCACTTTCTACCTCAGTTCAATTGATCAATCGATTACCCTCCCCTACGTTAAATCATGTTTCTCCTTTCTTTAAGTTGTTTGGTCATTCTCCTTTGTATTCTGATCTTCATACATTTGGTTGTGTTTGTTTTGTGCATCTCCCTGCTCATGAACGACATAAACTTGCTGCTCAGTCTGTTAAATGTGTTTTTCTTGGTTATGCTATCCCTCAAAAGGGTTATGTTTGTTATGATCCCCATGCTCATCGTCTACGGGTTTCTAGAAATGTAATTTTCTTTGAAAATTAATATTTCTTCCCATATCATGTTGAGTTGCCATCTGCATCTTTATCTCTTCTGCCTAGTTTTTCAGATTCCCCAACAATTGTGGAAAGGTTCAAACCTAGTGTTGTATATGAAAGACGTCATCGACATGAGTCTGGTTCCGCTTCCTCTGTGCCCTCTTCTGATCTTGACCCAGCGCCTGATTTTACTCCTACTTCCACCACTCTTCGTCGGTCTACTCAAATTTCTTGACCCCCTGATTGGTATGGATTCTTCTCCCCTGTCTCTCTTGTCGCTACTTTATCCACTATTTCCATTCTCTCTTACTACAAACAGGCCATAGAACATGAGTGTTGGTAAAATGCAATGCAAGTAGAACTTCAAGCACTTGAGGAAAATCACAGTTGGGATATTGTTCCTTGTCCTCCTACAGTCAAACCTATTGGGAGTAAATGGGTTTTCTCTATAAAACTTCGTTCTGATGGCTCTTTGGACCGGCACAAGGCTCGCCTCGTAGCTCTAGGTAACAAGCAAGAATATGGGATTGATTATGAGGAGACATTTACTCCTGTTGCCAAAATGACCACAGTTCGAACCATCTTAGCTATTGCCGCTTCACAGTCGTGGCAACTATATCAAATGGATGTGAAGAATTGCTTTCTTCATGGTGATCTCCAAAAAGAGATTTACATGACGCTTCTCTCTGGTATGACTACTTCTCTTCATGATGTCTATAAGCTAAGGCGTTCTTTGTATGGGCTCAAGCACGTGCCTCGGGCTTAGTTTGAGAAGTTTCACAGTACACTTCTTTCCTTCAGTTTTACACAAAGTCAGTATGATTTTTCTCTCTTCTTTCATACGTCTGCGTCGGGAATAGTCCTTCTCTTGGTTTATGTGGATGATATTATCATTACTGGCACTAACTGTGGTTTGATTACTAAGCTTCAACAGCTGTTACATGCAACTTTCCATATGAAAGATCTTGGCCAGCTCACATACTTCTTAGGATTGGAAGTTTATCGTCTGGCCAATGGTATTTTCGTGAACTAGTATAAGTATATTCAAGATCTTATCACTTGGGCTGGTTTGGAGGACACTTCTTCTGTTGATACTCCTATGGAGGTAAATGTCAAATACAAGAAAGATGAAGGGGACCTTCTAGATGATCCTACTCACTATCGGCACCTAGTTGGGAGTCTTATCTACTTGACCACTACTTGACCTGATATCTCCGATGTTGTTCATCAGGTTAGTCAATTTATGTCTTCTCCTCGGCATCTCCATCTAGCTGCAGTTCGACGTATCATTTGCTATCTTCAAGGTTCACCTACTCGTGGGTTGTTCTTTCCAATCGGCTCCTTTCTTCAACTTGTTGCCTATAGTGATGCTGATTGGGCTGGGTATCCGGATACCCGTCGATCTACTATGGGTTGGTGTATGTTTTTAGGTGATGCCTTAATTTCTTGGAGATGTAAGAAACAAGATCGTGTTTCTAAATCCTCTACTGAGGCTGAGTATCGTGCCATGTCTATTGCTTGTTCTGAAATTGTATGGTTACGCGGTCTTCTTGAGAAGCTTGGGTTTCCTCAGACCACTCCCACCCCTCTTCATGTTGATAACACTAGTGCTATTCAGATTGCAACCAACCCCGTTTTCCATGAACGCACCAAACATATTGAGGTTAATTGTCATTCTATTCGAGACACCTTGGAAAGTCGGGTGATATCTCTTCCTCACATATCTTCTGATCATCAAAGCTATGACTCGATAGCGGCACCAATTTCTTGTTGGCAAATTGTTGTTGGTTGACTTACTAGCATCAATTTGAGGGGGGATGTTATCGTATACAACTTTAGGAATTTATATAATTTAGGACTTTGTTAATATTAGCTGTAAAAATTATCTTACCATGTATAGATGCTGAATATTAGGAATCAGTTAGATGCCGTGTATAGAATATATTTCTGTGTATAGATGGAACTGATATATAATGAAAGGGGTGAAAGGGGAGAACTCATAGAGGCAAGTTTTTCCAAAGAACTTCTCTGTTTTCTTTAGTTTGACACCCGTAACTATTTGCATAAAGCCACACGTGGAGTCTGAGGTAGAACAAGGTAATGTAATTAGCAAAGTGGTGCCAAAATCTAAACAAAAAGAGGGTTTGTCTATAGGTAATTTAGTTAACAGGAATATTGTTTTGTTGGGGAAGCGGCTTTGGAGGTTTCCATTGAAGCTTAATTCCTTGTGGGATTCTCTTATCAAAAGTAAGAATAAAATCCATGCCAATGAATGGGACTCCAATGTGGTGAGTATAGAGGCTCATTTTGTAATCTTTGAAAAGCTATAGCTCAAGATTTGGATGTTTTGAGAAATCATGTTAAATTGAGGGTTGAAAATGGGGAAAGAATTCGCTTCAAGGAAGATATTTAAATTGGAGAGTCATCTCTTGCTTTATTGTTTTCAATATTATTTAGATTATTAGGGTCTCCTAATAGCCCAATGGCTAAATTGTTTTGTCCTTCTTCGTCATCTTCTTTGGGTGCATGGAATTTAAATTTCTTTCGTAATCTAAATGATCAGGACATTTTGTTTTTCATTTCTTTCCTTGTTAGATTCAGTCTCATTGAATTCCTTGATTAGTGATAGAAGAATTTGGTCTCTTGATTCATTCGAAATTTTTTTACTGCTGTTCTTATTTTGAATACTTGATTGATGATCCGAGTATTGTAATATTTGATCTTTATTCATTGATTTTGAAGCAAAAGTTCCTGTTAAAGTGGAGATACTTGCTTGGATTAATATGGAAAGGTGAATACTTGTGATTTCCTGCAAAATAGAAGACCTAACACTTGTATTTCTCTGCATTGGTGTGCTTTGTGTTAGCAATGTTGCGAAAGTATTGACCACTTGTTCCTTCATTTTCCCATTGCCACGTTTTTGTGGCATAAGCTTTTGTGGGAGGCAGATGTGTCTCTTTTTTGGAGACGAGATTTGATGGTTTTGGAAATGGTAAAATAGATTCAATTTTATGGAACTGTACAATTTTGGCTATTTTTAGGGTGGTACGGCTTGAGAGGAATTGTGACACTTCTCTCTTAGTTCTCCGACATAATTGGAAATTCTTTTGAAGCTCATAGGGACTGTTTTTCTTTCTTTGATTATGTTCTTTTTTGGTGGACTTCTTATCCAATAATTTTGTACATTTATATCTAAAAATGAGATGAAGTTTTGTTTATTATCCAAAAAAAAAAAATTTTTTTTTAGTCCTGTAATGAGGTAAGGCAGGACTTCTTCCCTTTCTCCACAAGTGGGGTAATGGGGTTGAACAACCCATCTCATGGTCATTATTTATATGTGGTCAAACAGAACATACAAGTTACCAAAAGCCATTCATACAACAAGACAACCACGTCCAACTCAGTAACCAGAAAACTGTATAACCAAAGATAAGCAGGTATGTTGGCAACACTGTTGTAACCCGCGAATAAAATATGCTAGCATTGCAACTTAAAAGGAAGGTATGTGGTTAACAATATCATTCCCGCCACTGTCAAATGAACAAGAAATGCAGAAATGTAGACAAAGCATATTTTGCATCTCCAGAATTTATATTGACTGTGCTAGGCTATTAGTGGTAACAACTGGCAACACGTAAAATAAAACCATTTACATTTTGGCAGTGCTCTAGAGGTACGGTATGCTTGCAGGTCTTGGAACATTTTCTTTTACTGTCAATATGAAAGTTTTATGTAGGAAAGGTAACAACCAATATACTTGTCACAAACATCATGCCTTTGGAAGCCCAGCTGCAAATATAGCTAGACACCTTAAAAATGTAGGAAAGGTCCATATTTGGTCTAATATTACCATGAGGTCTGATATTTTTGCGCTGCAATTTCCAGTTGAAATATTAGAAGTGAAACATAAATCTTGACTTTATATTCTTAAAAGGAAAATAAGAGAAAAATTGCATCAATATAAACATACAAATTGTTGCTCTAGGACCTACTGTCCAAGCCTAAATTGCCACAAAGCTGATTGGGGGAACCCTTCAACTAATAAACTGAAAAGCCTACTCAGGCAAAACTTCAGTAAGGTAAACAAACTTAATTATAATAGTGAAAGGCTGAGGAATGTGTAACTCATACAGGAAACGTAGTTTCTGAAGCTTGTCCAATGTGTCAGGAATGGGACCAGTTAAGTTGTTCAGGTAAAGATCCAAGCTCACCAAATTTGTCAAGTTCCCGAGCTCATAAGGAACTCTTCCAGATATGTTATTACTATAAAGTTCCCTGTCACAATAAAACATTTTCCAGAAATATTTTTATGTTAGTTATTTATGGACGAAGCAAGACATGCGAAGGGAGCAGATTGCAAGTGAAGGAACATAGTAGTGACAAATCTAAAATTGACAGTATTGTTTCTACGTTATATAGAAGCATGGGAGACGTTGACCAAAGATGAAAGCTTCTGACCATGGATACACAGGGATATTAAATTTCACAAGGACATCCAAAGTTCTAGCTTTGGATAAAGTATCTATGTTTTTAGTAGGGGAAATGTGCGGCAACAAGAAGGTTCCATTGATAAATGACTCCAGGTTGGGTGGTTTTGGTGCAAACTTCAACCGCCAGCTTTATTTAGACAAAGTCATTACCCTAAACTCAAATCTAATTTCTCAAGCATGACAATCTCAACTTTAACCATTGCACCAAGCAATAGCTGTATCCACATAATAAAATTATTTGTTTAGCTGCGTTTTGCTTGTCCTCTCCCTAACAAGACAGATAGATTTACTTTTTTTTAAAGATTTGTTCCAAAAGGACACTACTTAAAATGCATCCAAACAAAGTCTTCCCGGAGCCAGGGCTTAGCTATACTAGACCAATCAAATAAGACTGTTTACTTAACGAAGTAAATGAAGGAAGTCAAAGCTCAAATGGCATATGCCCAAAGGAAGACTGAGCACATTTGATTCCCTGAAAAATGAAATGTCCCGAGTATGGTAAGAAATAGCAAGAGACTAATCTTATGTCATTTTAGTTGTTCAATTCTTCAAAATGAGAAAAAAGATGAAATATTTGTAAGTGTTGCCCATTCCTTAAAAGGAAAATTATTGGCTCTGAACCTGCTAAGAGGAACCTCTACCTACCAGTAGCATGTCGAAAGCATAACATACCACGTGTTCTGGTAAACATGCTCATGCCTATCCCATGTGACTCTTCAATTACAATTTTTTATTTTATGGTATACTACCAGATTATTATCCTTAGTATAATTTTTCTCCTAAAGGTACGGTTCCACCAGAATTCCACAATCAGTCCAATCAACCCTGCAACAAAACCCCCCCACACTGAAAGTTCCTGGAGGGACAAAGCCTTAAAAATATCCAAATGAGAACGACAGGTGTTTGTACTGTGACTTCTCCATGTTAAAGTTGTAACTAGAGGTCCCACAACTGGAATTGGAGGGTGAAAAGGGTGATTCAAAGTAGCCATATTTATTTTGTTGCCAGTCCTCACTGACACTCCATGATTTGGGGCATAGGTAGAGAAAATGTTTTCCTAAATGGAGCTAAGGAGAAAAAAGGTCCTATGGTGATGGGTGAGAAGGCAAGAGTGATAATGATGGCTGACTATGCTGCTGGCCGCACTGAAGAAGATTATTATGATGTAATTGCATCAAGGTTCAAAGCATTGGCTAATATCGATACGAGTTGACCAAGTTGGACTTTCTCAGATGATACCATTTTAAGTTGCATACGTGAACCCCTAATTTCGGTTAAGCACGGTATAAACTATCAGCAGCTTTCAGGAACTAAAGACTAAGTTTTTTTATATATCCATGTATCCTTTTGAGGTTGACAAAAGAACTGGTTGAAATTTTTGGAACCGATCTGAATCAGGTGTGACCTTACTAAGCAATAAATTACATGCCCCTTACAGCCCATCACTCAAGCAAATTTCCTGAAGGACAACTAATATGATAGTCACAATCCATTCAACATTCGTTGGAACAAGTCCTTTATTAAACTGAAAACTAGGAGTTCATGCATCTAAGATGACAAGAACTAGAATAAAATCAAAAGAGAAGAAACTCTGCATACCAGGAGCTACGTGTACCAGAAATCATTTAAAGGGTGAGGGGGGGAGATACCAAAGAAACGCAGTAAGAGCAACAGAATAGACTGGATTGAAGCAAATTTACTGCCCAACAATATGACTTACAAGTACTGCAAATATGGAAGCTGGCCAAGCTGCGGAACCAGTTGACCAGATAAATTTGCGTTTCCAAGATCACTGAGCATGAAGAAATACAAAAAAAAAATTGTCAATCCAATGAAAATAAAAAAACAACACTAGTTACGACTAGCAAGTAACATCACTAAAATTGTCATAGATGTACGGATGCTTACACTCTAGTGACAAAATTATCACTGCTGCACGTAACATGAAACCAAGTGCAGGGATTGACAAGGGTAGGATCCCAACTTTGCAGGACATTGTTAGGATCAGCTAAGTTGGTCTTCAGCGCATTCAAGGCATCACCTGTTTCACATAAGTGAGTCACTTATCAGATAACTCATTCAATAACATCAACAACTAAATACTCGCAAAAGAAGCAAGTTCTATAAGATGATATTTTATCATTTCCTAGTGCTAGAACTTGCAAATTATAGGCCATAAATTTTTACCGGTCATAAAATTAACTTTTACATGGTTCAACTTCTATCAAATAATTCCAAACTTTACTACCGAGAATCTATACTAATACTTTTAATAAAGGAAGACGGTGAGGTTGGCGTCCACCCATAAATGCCTATAATATCCTCCATTCTTTCTACTTTTATAATACATATGTTTCTTTTTAACTATACTATTAACGCCAATTAGCTACCCATAACTCTTATAACCACCTAAATTTATCAAGAACAAAGTCAACAGGAACCTATTCATTCAAATCAGCAGAGTCTAGTGGTAAACATAATAAGTCAAAGAAATTCAAAAAGAAAAGAGGCATCTGAATCAAAGCACGCACCTTCGGCATTACCGGAGACTTGGGATAACCGATAAAACACCAAAATTAAGCAGAGAAAGCACAAAACAGAGATCGGAGAGACCTTCCGATCCATCAGTAATCACTATTCCCACAGCTAACTACGTAGATTAGGATTCCTCATCCACTCATTGGTAAAGATACAAGAACTCTCTCTCAACACAAAAATCAAAGCACTTGATGAAACCCTAATTCCCAAAACACCCAATTCATCAATCTTTAGCAAGAAGGGAACCGAGAAAGAAAACTCAGAGCTCAGCAACACACAGATGTCGATGGAACAGAAGAATTACTGCAAGGATTGAAGAAGGAGAAAAGAGTGAATTTTCCTTTTACTTTCCCGGGAAAATTCCGTTTTTCGCTCTGCGTGTGTGTGAGAGAGAGAGAGAGAGAGAGTTTTCAACTGAAGTCCGTTCGGAAATGGTAGGCGTCGGAGGTGTAGTCGTTGACATAGATGGTGCTTAGTCAAAGCCAACTTGTAGTATACTGTTACATCCAAGAAAATAGGGTTAATTACACTTTGAACCCTAAAAACTAAAAATTTCTCACTTTATGCAACAAAAGATCAGATTCTTCACATTATATCTTCAATAAATTAAAATTATTTTAATATAGTCATTCTATTAATTTTTCGTTGCTCTTTTCGTGAACGTTGACGGGATTGTTTTTTACGAAATAAATAACAAAAGTTAATGAAATGGTCATATTATAATATTTTTATTTTATTGATAATACAATATAAAATATTTAACCTTTAAAAATATAAAATAAATATTTTTAGGGGTAACAAAAATATTTTTTGAAAATACGTTTAATTAAATGGTAGTTATTTAGTTTAACTTTTAGGTGGTTATTTGGGTTTCATGATAGCATGTGATTGGTCTATTCCTAATTTAATAATTCAAAACTTTAGAAAAATTAAATAGATAGAGGAAAAGGTATTTAAGGCTTCATTTCCAACAAAATAAGAGAGAGAGAGAGAGAGATGTGGCTAGGAGCTACGTGTTTGTTATGCCTCAACACGTTCCATATCTAATAGATTGATGATCGGACTTAGCATATTGATGTATTATATGTTCCAATTCAACCTAGAGTTTTTAAAAGAAGTAGCACCGCGAGTTGACACAAATTCAACTAATTTAAATTCTTTTATAACTGAAATTTTGAGCTCTACTTAATATTCAAATCAAGTTTAAGTAATGGTTCATTTAGCTCGATTGGCTGTAGGTAGATTAGTTTATGTGATTTATTTGTGGGTAATGTGTTTGATTTTTTTATTAGGAGGGTACGGGCTTAACTATTTTTTTTTAAAAAAAATTATGCATTTTCTCTTCACCGAGAGTTGAGTTCAATTTTTGTTTTTTTGGTCACTATTTACAAGGGAAGGATTGGTAAAGTTTGAATTCGTAACCTACCGATTTGACAACGGATCAAACTAAGGTGAGTATATAATTTAAAAGTCAAGTTGAGTTTAAACAAAAATTCATGCTCAACAATAAAACTTAAATTGAGTTTGAAAAAGTGATAATGGACCCGAGCCGTGTCTACACACTCTAAAAGTGAAGAAAATATTAAATATAACACTTTCATCATATCAACCGTATTACTTTGTATAACTGTTCACGAAGAAAAGAACAAGCAAACAAGTGAGCCCTAGAAAATTTAATAACCATTATCTATGTAATATATAATTTTTTTATTAGATGATTATACCATGTGATATTGCCAAAGTATATAACCGTTACATAGAATATTTAGTCACCAAATCTGTTAGACTTATTGAATGGTCCTTTTCTGCCAACAAAATGGCTGAAAAGGAAATCGTGGATCTCCCGAAAGTGGAAGACTTATCAGAGATGATAAAGGCCATTGCGAATGTACCAGCAAACATAGGGGAACAACAACCGGAGAAGCTGGTTGTTTTAAGAGAACCCCAGTGGAGTGAAAACAAAACTTCAAGTGGATGGGCCGACATTGCTTTTGTTAGGGAGGCATAACGGTTCTTTTTTTTTTTTTTTTTCATTGTACCAAAAAAAGAATAGTCAACCAACCGGGTCAAGGACGGACGCACGGAGCTATCCTACCACCGCAGCCAATTAAGAAAAGAAATACTTAGCAAAGAACATGTGGACATGGTTGAATCAACACTTAGGACTAGTAAGCCTAACCTCCCCCCAAGGGATAGAGAGAGGTCCTTTTAACATTCACCAAAACAAACAGTGAGTCTCTAGTCACGTGATCAACACGTGATCCCTCGATTTTTTTTAAGGGGTGGTCGGGAAAAACTCAAGACAATTAGGGGTTTAAAATGAAAATACTAAATAAGATATTTTTTATTTTTAGTATTAATTTTTTATGTGTGAGAGAGACAAAATGACAATGTGTTAGTGTTGTCAAGGTTTCATTTTTTGCTTTTGTTTTTTATTGGAAATATAGAGTTTAATTTTTATTTTTATTTCTAGTTTGTAATTTTTTTTACTAGAGAGAGAGAGAGAGGAGATAAATATGAGTTGATTTTTGAGTATTTTCTTAAAGGACAAAATTTAATGAATTTAAATTTTTTTGTGGGTTATTAATGTACTTAGGGCATGTTTGGCAAATCAAGGTTGGACTACACTGGATTGGATTTAAAGTCCTTACCAATCCAATGAAATTTCAATAACCGGAATTAGTAGTGGGATAAAAACTACTTTTTTAATCCTATCCCAGATTTGGTAAGTAATTTATGATATGGTGGGCCCATGGATAAAATATATCTTATTTTTAAAACATGTCATATGTTTGATAACAATTGACAATATTACCCTAGAATCCTATCCAATCTTATGTCATGTTTGGATTGAGAATTGTTGGTTACCCCTTTACTATTTAAGTGAAATGGTAGGAAAACTTATGTATTTTTTTGGGTGGTGTAGTAGTGATGTTGGTTTGAGGATGTTGATGTTTTGTATGGTGGTGGATAAGCTCATTTTTTTTTGTATTAATAACGTTCTTGTTGAAAAAAAAAAATGAAACTTACATGTTTACGTGACTTGGACGAATGTGTCATTGTTCTGCTTGTAGGTGGCTTGGACGAATGTGGAGCTCATTTGTATTACAACTGTCCAAGTGGGAACTACTGTGAATATCAAGCAAATGAACATGAACATTATAATTAATGAACCGTTGAGTTATACATAAAAACACACACAATTATAAGGCATTGTACGTCATACACTATACAGTCAATGTCCATTTAAACAGTTGCCTTAATCTATACAAACAAAATAAAGGCAATATATTTGAAATGGTAAGTTAAAGACATTTACGCACATATTTACTACATCATACACAACCACAAGCGAAGTCGCATAATTACCAAAATGGGTTGTGGGATTTACCAAGTCGAATACACAAAACAACTACACATTGGTTACATAGTAACTGCAAACCTTGGACATAACTATTGTGGGCCAAATCAATCATCGATGACTATAACATCGACTTGGCTTGGAGAATTGACTGACGGGGAAGACCCAACACTGTCCAATTCTTGATTGTTTGAACTAGCTTCATCTTGTTTGAATATAACGTTAAAATATTGATAATTTTTGCATGGTGCAAGGTAGTACATCGTAGCCAACTCATCTTCCTACATGTGTAAATTTGAAGCATGTGTTAATTTGATGTGTAATGAACATACGCGTAGTTAAAACAAGTACGTACTAAAGGTGAAAAACATATAACTTACTTCCAAGAATCTATTTGTCCGATGTATGGCTAGGTTGTGCACCACACATTTTGTTATAGGATCCCATTCAAATAAACAACTGTCAACCATCTTACTTATCGTATGATATTGTCTCTCCCAAAAAAATATTATCCTAATGCGCTAGGTGAAGGACAAACTGAACATTGTCATTCGTTAATTCAACGTGGCCAACATCCCCGTCTATCAATTTTGTGTTGTACCTCCCAAAAGGAGGTAACTTCCCTTTATTTTTGTAATCTATCAATCTGTCTATCAAAACATCTGTCTCATCCTCAGTTATTTTTGGTATCTTCATTTAAACACTACAATCATAACAATCATTCATTAGAATAATATGAATATGATTTTATGGTAAATGCAACAATATAAATAATATTCAATAGTTGACAGTATTTCTACACAATGCATAGACAATCATAAGTACTTCAAACCCGCAAACATGATATTACTTCACAACCATATATATGTTCCACTTAAAATCCAAAAACCATTTCGCTTACAACCATTAGGCATTCCCCTAAGTTCTTCATAATGATACGGAAAATCATTAATTTAAAAACATAAAGTCAACCAACTCTACTCATAACCGAGTACACAATATGGGTGAGGACGATACCCAATATAAGCATTACTACACTAATCATGCACCAAATCATGTCACGCTTGTACCCGCTATGTTCCAGTACAACAACATGTTATTCATTATTATCCATTGGCCGTTCTTGAATAAAATTTTCCAAAGGTCCAATTTCATGGACATCCATGTCATTTGCTACTTCTCGTTTAGGTGGTACTACTTGCGTTGTATTGTGCATGACAAATGCAGTTGCCGCATCATTGTACGAATCATAAGATTTGTACAGTGCACCTGGGTATTTATTGACATGTGAATGACACTCAACCCATGATTGATAAATTTCAGTCCGCCGTCCAAGAAACACAACGTACCACCTTTGGTTCCTGTTCATAGCTTCTTGCACAACTTTAAAAGTTGTTACTACTACTACTCAATGCTACTTACATTTATATTACCTAACATTAAATGCAATATTTCATACACCATATGTAAATGACCATCAAATACACGACCAAAACATGTTTACTACATCACAACAACTATTCCATCAAATACATGTCCTGTGATATTGATATATAAACTGTAAAGTCCCAGAAAAAAGACTTTGGTGGGTTAGTGCAAAACATGATGCATCATGATAGTACCACATTGTCTTTTACCAAGTAATATTGACCAACCAACATACATAGCATTTTAAATATTCACATACTAACACCATTCCGAACTATTTGTTTTTTGGACATGTCTCCCACATGTTCAATCGATATACATCATGGATGTGTTGTGTTCCACGGTAATCCACCAACCCATGCAGGTCTCTCATATGCAGGCAAGCTAAAAAATATGTCAACCTTCATAGGGTCAGAACAAACAGTGCTGCATGACGATCAACCATGGATATACCTTTTATCTTCTCAAGTTCTTCATTTACTCTCTTTCTAGCATCAACAACATCATGCATGCACCCTATTCGATGTGCAATAATGTCTAGTTGCTTCTGACTTTCTTGAACATATTCACCAAAAACCTTGGATATGTCTCCCAAACTCTTTGCAATTGCCTCAGATGCATTCCCACTCACTTTAGCTTTCTTTTTCT